CCCGAACATCGACTTTTATTTTACAAAAAACATAAATAGGCATTCGATACAAAAATGTATCTACTTTTACGTCCAGTTTATTTCCAGCTTTTCGAGGACATTCATACTTTCTAGTTTTTAGCAGCAACGCATTCTCGCAAAAGTTATTTATGTTTATGTAGTGGACAGAACTAGTATAAACTAAGCAACTGTATAATTCTCTATTTTCCTCATTCATAGGTTCCACTAACTACCTTCATTATTACGGTCACGGGTACCTAATCCTTTAAACTTGGCACTGACTAATCACCACAATATAACACGGGTGTGCTTATAACAAGTTGGTGACATGAACATATATATCATATTACAACGATACTAATATTATGAAGCTGAAGAGTTTGTTTGTTTGAACGCGCCAATCTCAAAAACTGCTAGTTCGAATTAAAAAATATTTTTATGTTTGTTAGACCATTTATCGAGGAAGCATTAGAAGAGGAAGAAGTATGGAGTGGAGAGACGGTGAAAAATCTGTAAGAAACGGATAATTCATCTTTCAAGATATATGTAATAAAAAATGTCCGCGACAGTATATGTCTATCATGACGCGACTGACGTTGTTGGTAACCGCTTAAATTTATAAAAATGAAGCGGAGGCTTGCAAAAACAAATTTTGTTGCCTAAAATAACTATTATACGCGGACCAAGACGGTTACACAGCTAGTAACATATTATAGGTGTTATTGAGTCTGGAGAGAACGTAAAAGTTGAATCCCGTGGGGCGAAAACAAATCTGTGTCCGTTTCACTTATCGGTTTATTATTTACAGGTTGATCAGATTTTTATAGTCCGCCGGACCAAAACAAACTATTGTTTTCCGGGATTCCAACTCAGGACCTCTAGTGCTTAACGATAGGCCATGCTTTTGACCATTTACCAACGGAGACGGTTACGGCCAAGTAGAGAATATATCATTTACATATTTAAAACTATTTTGTATCCACGTTGCTTTAACGTCTAACGTATGTCACTCAAATTAAAAAAAATATACAAATTAATTAAAAATCTTCTCTTAAAGTTGAGTAGATTTTCAATGCGATTTTCAAGGTACTATTTCTTTAAAACTGACATAAAAAACGTTATGGACCAAAAAGACGAAAGACAACATATACCTTATAAATACCCAAAACTTTTTCAGGTCACTTGTGTAATGAAAAGTAGTACCTACTTACATTTATAATCATTTAATGTGTGTCTACTAAAATTTTAATAGTAAACTATTGCGTTTTAAATTAAATAATTATACAAAATGATTTAAGTTCTTTTAAATAAAACACTTTAACGGTTTAAAACGCGATATATTGGTTAAACTTATTTGAAAATGATTTTTAACTACGGCCCGACGTTTCGGATGCTTTGCAGCAACCGTGGTCACGGGGAGACGTAAGAATTTAAGTTCTTGTTATTAACTTTTAAATACTTATAAGTAGTTTGATTATATAATCGGTGGTTATTTATTTCCTCAATTATAAACATAAAATAACCTTCTTTTTATGGTAACAAGAATATGTGATTCCATTCAACTTCTTCCTTTGTGTATGCGGTGTAAAAATATTGAAAACTGTGAATAAAATATCGTTCTATTGTGCTCTACTTCGATATCGTCTTGCTTGGTCTTTGACGAACAGAAACGAATAAAGCCTTTTTGTTGGATTTATTTTGTGAGTCAGTGAATGTTATACTTTTAAAATATTTTAGTTACACTACCATGACACAGTACCTCAATTGGTTAGAGCAGCAGCACGAAACGCTATTCGAATCTATATTTTTTTTTAATATATATTCGATTTCTAGGTATATTACTTTAGTAAGTTTTTAAATATTTTTTTATGTATTATTTTATGTGTACGATGTTGATAGATCTATCCTATTGTTAATCTAGTGGTGTGAAAGCTTGTGAACTCGACCGGCTCTGTAGCTAAACGGTTAAACATGTTGCCTAACAGTGCGTTAAGGGTCCTGAGTTCGAATCCCGGGGAAGTCATAAATTGTTTCGGTCGAGTGTCCCTAACAGAATTCTGATCAATAGTTAATGAGACTTCTGTGCCCTCGGATCAATGAAACGGACTCGGATTGCGTTTGTCCCTTACCTAACGAGAGAAAACAGATTTCACTTTTGTGAAGTTAAAAGGTCCTTGGTCGAGGGTTTACATATTTATTTTTGTATGTCACACGTGGAATACACATAAGGCCAGCAAGATCAAGTCAGGGTCATCAGCCCTTTAGCCTATCATCAGCAAGATGATGGTGTGTATTTTAAACAAAAGTAATGATTGTGTAAAGCCTTTTTAAGCATTGTTCTTCATACCCGACATATAGCATAGTAATTCTAGAAACAAATAACGTATGACCAAAATGTAGTGACAAAATTGTGATGCCATTAAAACTTTTCACGGTATAATATTTTATCAAAAGTCGGAACTTTATGAACCTGCATATTTTACTCTCTTGGGATTTATTATTCTCTTTATTGAATATGAAACTATGTAACCCAAAACGTATTGGTAGAAAATCATATCATGACTTTGTTAGACATTATACTTTTATACAATATATATATATATGGTAGAAAAATGTTATCAATCTTATTTTCAACCAATTGGCTGCCTCTTTAGGCTAATGGTTAAATACATTGCACTTTAACGTTTAACACGCGATATTTATTAAACTTATATGAAAATTATTTTAACTACTGCCCGCGGTTCTCCCCGTGACCACGGCTGCAAAGCATCCGAAACGTCGTGCTGTAGTTAGAATAATTTTTAAATAAGTTTCATTAATATATATCGCGTTTTTAACCGTTAAAGTGTTTTATTTGACTGTGTAATACTCGCGTAAACTACTGACGGTATCTAAACGTATTGCGTTAAAAGCCAGGGGATTCAAACCCTTGAAACTGCCTGTAAATAAAATCGATGACTACCTTTCGACTGAGAAAATTAGATTTAGAAACGAATTTTCCCTACGTAGGAAAATTGGGATCAAACATTCACAAACTAAAGTAAAATTATGATGTTAGCTCATTTGATTAGGATATGAAAAAGGTAGGCAATAAAAAGCAAAAAGAAAAGACAACGAGTATTATAAAACACGTTTAATACCAAAAATATTCTAGAAATGAAATTATTCCATTGAAATCAAAGTCTCTCCCGAGAATAAACCGGAATACCGTCTATGTGTTTTACTGATAACCTAAATGAGGCGAGAAGGATTCGTTTCACAAAATCCAGGTTTATTCTTAGATTTATTCACATTCGATAGTTTTCGCATTATTCATAAAACCTAATAAACTGTCAAATAGTATGATTTAGTTTGGTTGCTTTCGTTAATGTTAATTTTACTGTTACCTGTAAATTATGTTAGGGAGGGCCAATCTCAACATTGGGGTGAACAGAATTTTAATTAAAAACCATATTCTACTATGTTATCAATTATATTTAGTTTATGAACGTTATTTTAAACTTGGTTGGCATACGTGAACCGAAATACAACTGTACTTAGCTTTTAAATAAAACACTTTAACGGTTTAGATATATATTAGTTAAAGTTTGCAACAACCGAAACGTCGGGCCGTAGTTAAAATAATTTTCAAATAAGTTTAACTAATACATATCGCGTTTTAGACCGTTAGTGTTTTATGTAAATGTTCACTACTCGCGTAAACTACAGACAGTACGTACTTACCTTTTAAAATATTCGGTTAAAACGATTCGGGCCATCCCTTCATAACATAAATAGATGTATTATTATCTTCTATACCTATTCCAAGGCTTATTACTTAACTTTCGGTTGAGTTATTGATGTTAAGTAAAATAATCTATGGCTTAAGCTTCCTGGATCTCGTAAAATTACGTGATCGATGATATGTCTTCAGAAACATATAGAACTTCGTGTTTAGGTTTAGTTATATATACACATATATATATATAGTTTATTATAGTGTGGTAGAGACGGACTAGAACGTAGGAAATTAACAATAATGAGATGGATGTCTTGATTTATTTACTTTTTTTTTGTAAAAAACTTATATCGAATATATTATTCTAGTGTTTGCAACTCAAACGTCAACACGTCATTTACTATCTACCTCTACTCCAATACTGCAAATCAATCACATTAATTGTATGTACGTATGTATATTCCTATCGCATACAGCTTGACCGATAACTACAACTCCTAATTTGACCTTTAATAATTAAAAACATATATCTTATGCTTAATATCACACACTTTGCAATACAGGTACACATCAAAATACGAATATGTAACAAACAAGCAACATTGTATATAATAAATATTTATCTAACGATTCAATTTTTAACACAATCATATTTCCTTATTCACATAACACACTTACGCTTTTTATCTTAGTAATAAGTTTGAACGACATTTATTTCGTATTAATGTAATTGTTTAAATTTAATGTAATTCACAATAAATACAAACGTCATATTTGATGTCTATGTACATACTGGATGTTTACTTAAGTTGCTATTTACACCATATAAAAAAATATATAATTTTTAAGTAACTTAATAACGATTAAAATATTCAGTTCACGAAACTATAGTCTTATTGAAAACTTTAATATTTTTAACATTTTATTGCACACGATGGCATAATATAAATTTAAAATCGATTTTAGATTCAGAAAAAAAATTTAAAAGTCGAAAATAAATTAAATAGCGCCTTCATGTGCATAACATGTAAAAAATAATGAAGTTTTCAGAAAGATAGACAACACGATTTTTTTAAAATCTGAAATCCTTTTTCGATTCATAGTCTCTTTTTTTCATATACTGCTATTGTTTTTTCAACACTTTTTATTTTAAAATCAACAACGTAGATGCAGGAATAAAAAACAAAAGTCAACTCGCTAGTAAAAATCTTTCATTGTATATATACAATGTTCTATCTAATTGCATCGTTTAGACCACGCACGCAGTCTAAACGCACGTGTCTCAGGTCAAGCCACCGATATTGCAGTTCACTTGATACATATACGTAGCCAGTTCCTCCCCACTCAGTTCTTGGTCGAATTCGTGTAAACTCGAGTTCGATATACTCCGTGGGGACGTGTAGGAGTCTGATACCTCGTTCAAACGGCGTTGCTGCCACACCCAAGTCCCACTCGGTAATTCGTTCACGATGGACAGAGTTCTTCGCCCTGGCTGTAACAAATGTCTGGTTAATGCTGTCACTTGCTTCTTATAATGTAATATCCAAAATACATATATCTCACCCAATAGATACATACATATGTAAATTAAAGTGCTTAAGAAAAAAAAGTTAGCCACAAGATGTTAGCAAAAAATTGTAGAAACAATTTTTGTACCTTTATTGATTTATGTCGTTAAAAATGATTCGTCTAATATGGGCAAAATATAGATCACATTTGAATACTTCCAAAAAGTCAGTTTCGTTACTTTAAAGTAGATTACTAAAAATACCCACGGAATTGTGAATTGTAAAAAGTTATCAACCTAACACTTACATTTTTAAGATTAGTATCAATCAATAAAGGAAGGTGTTAGTAGTAATCAAGTTCCGGACGAGAAGTATGCCTTCATTATGTTAAAGGTAAAAAAAAGTATTTTCGTTTACTACAAACTGCGGAAAAACGTATTAGTCGAAACATAAATCCAGTTACAATCCCACCATCTGACTTTATTGCCGATAACGAAAACCTCATTCCAACGAATTGATTTATATTCCATACTTTACGCAGCTAAGTATGAAAAAGATGTCTTTACGCATGATAAGGCCTTAGTACGTTATACGTAACATAATAATACTTACTAGCAACTTAAAAAAACGATCAAGTGCGAATCGATCTCGGGCATGAAGAATTTGGTACTATTGATTTTTAGAGGTTCATATTAAAACGTTTTTATTATTAGATGAAGTATACCTACAATTGGGCATTTTGAAAATATTAAGGTACCCCTTTATTAGTAAATGGATGTACACTGCTTATAGTAGATTCGAGCCCGGAGCCCGCGTATCATAAAATTTTCATTTATCTTATTAAATTACTTTTTCTAGTCACACATCATCGCATATATTGTTAACTAGCTGTGCCCGCGACTTCGTCCGCGGAATAGTGACTTGGAGTAGAATTTTTTATTATTTAGGCTGTTTATTAATTTATGTAAGGGTGCATTTAAGGCAGCCAATCTATGTTGTAAGTGCTACTTTGCCGCAACACTCTCACCTCACATCACTCCTATTCTAACTCCCACTCTCATTCCTACACTCACTCCCACTCCCACTCCCACTCCTATTCCCAAAAAGTCAAAGAAGAAAGTTTCAGTGTTTTAGCTTCAAAAACCACGAATTTCCATACAAACTTTCATCCCCTTTTTCAACCCCTATCAACCCTTTTGGCCTATGTCCTTTCTCAGGCTCTAAAATATCTGCGTACCAAATTTCATTTAAATCAGTTCAGTAGTTTCGGAGTTAAAGCCGGAAAGAGAGACAGAGTTACTTTCGCATTTATAATATTATAGTATAGATGTAGATTATTCAGAGTAACGTTACAAAAAATTAAGTAAGCTTAAGTGCATAGTATATAACCCAAATATTCTTCAACTAAGTATAGCAGATAATAAACTTCATTCCACGTTTATTTTGTTTGATAAATGCATTAGAACAATTGGTACTTAGTACATAAAATTTACTACGATGCTAATGATCCTATTAGGTACTTGGTGCAATAAGTACGCAATACAGTACAATGCTCAATTACTATAAAAGTTGAGTATTATAACATTTCCGTCCTAGGTATTGTATGCACTAGTACATATAGTTACAAGACGTCTCGTTTTACACATTCATATTAATTAGTCCGCTGGCACAGAGACCCAAAGTGGGTCTTGGCTTTGGAGACCCAAGATTATTGTTATTAAAATTAGTGAGCTAAGAATTAGTTATGAAGTTATGCATAAAAACTGAAAATATAAACAAGGCCAAGCGATATATTTTCTTAAAGATGTACATCAATAATTATTGAAACGTTCGCTTATTGCGAGTTACTAAACACATACCTAAGACTTTTAGTAATTGTTTATACAAATGATAAACCAACAGATATTGCGTATATATTTGTTAAAAATACTTCATACTATTGGTTATAAAATAACTGTGTCCGCAAATATCTGAATATATAAGTCCTGCTTTGATAAATCGTATGTTAATATATGAAGAGTAACTCAGGCAACATATAAGTATAACACAGTTAAATTTAAATAAGCGGAATTAAATCGATTTAAGATTTTTATTTAAATACTTACAACGAAATTGATGAGTGTCTCACGTCGTTAATCTTAAGCAGACGCAGCGTGTTAATAAACCTTGAACCCAATATGGAAAAGTCAAAGTGGGTCTAACCTCACCTGCGCTCTGGACGGAACTTCGACGAGCTGCGTGGTCGCAGTGGAAAGTCTCTTTAACAACTTAGGGTGCGACCTTGACCGTTGCGATGCAGCAGCATGCTGTCGTGAAGCCAATAGCGCGCTGTAAGTTCGGCCCAACCGAGGCATATCACTTCTGGTACACCAAACTGACAACGTCATCTGTGGTCAAAATGTCATTTGTCTTTAAACAAGCGTAATTTTTGTTAAAAACCTCAGTAATCTACTCTTATATATAAAGCGGAGGAGATGACTAATACAGGCGAAGATCTAGCGAGAAATGTGAGAAAGTTTGAGAAAATGATTCATAATTTTTTTCTTATCTGAATAAGTTAATATGTTGTTTATATCGATTGTATTATGAAGAATTAAGTCAGAATAAGTTTGTGTAGGTGTTGTGTTTTCAGTGCGTATTGTCTTTATTCCTATGTACATATAGTCAACGCTGCACATACCTGTAAATTAGGTACAGAAGAATTTTTTTACTGTAATTAGCTTAAGTGGTTTAAAACGTGTTAGTGTACCTCGTTAGTAAAACTTATTAAATAAATAAATTAGTTCTATTTAGTTTTGGCATAAGCAGTTACATTTTTAATATTTGTTATAATGTTTGGCATATGACACTTAATTGATCAATTGTTTTAGTTTATATATCCTATCTTTTAATATTTATTTCTAAATATATTAGATATTTTTCATTATTAGTTTAGCTATTTATTCTTATTAACAGATCAAAAGACAACAAAGATTACATATTCACATAAGACATTAAGAAATTGTGTATTTCTATACTTAAAGAAAGGACACTGAAACATGACGATGATAATATTACTCTATATTTTCACAGAATATTACATAAACATCATAGTTATTAAAACGGCAATGCCCTATCTAGGTGATCCTGTGTACAAAGTCTCCATAAATTACACCGCAATGTGTTTGGATTCCCATTTTTGCTACGAAATATTATAATCGTAAATGAAAGCGCTGCGAAAAATGTTCGTACTTCATTAAGTAAAAGAATAGATAATTATTATGTGACGTTGTTGCTAAGAAAATAATATGTCTTCAATAACATCCTTCTGAAAGTATTCCATTTTCTTAATTGCTTTTTGGTTCGAACGGAAAACGCGGTTTTCTTGTTATTTAAAATAATTACCAAGATAATTAACAATATATGTAAATTTAGTTTACGTTACGGTAAAGAAATAATATGTAGCGGTTCGTATTTGTTCTGTCTGTCATACATAACCTTCGTTTTCTATAACATGGTAGAATTTAAATTTAACTTCTCTTGTTTTCAGAAGTTGTAAAATAGATTTTCTTGTGAGAGACTATAAATCAATAGAAAATTTTCCATCCATATGTACCGACCTCTAACGTTATTCTAATAAACCAAGGGATCAACTTTAGGGAAACATTCCTGAATCCCGAAATAATATTAGTTGATATATTTCAGAGATATATTACAGGGATTAGATGCAGATACGGTTTACAAATTATATTCTAACATAAAATCTACGTTACAATATTTTTATAGCTAATCTTTTTTTATAAACCGTGCAAGGATTTCCTCAAAGGTCTCTATTTATGGGGCTATCTAAAGTACTGAAAGGTGCGTTTATGTGGAGTATAGCCTTGAGTTACGAGCGACCTTTGACCGATGTAGAGGGCTACGACTTTACGTAACGGCCGCTACGTAGGACGTCTACGGCACTCCTAATCAAATTATTTCAAGACACCCCCAAAACCATACATCACCCTAGCCATTCAATTCTGTTTTAGATGACTCAATCAGTTAAAGATTTAATATTTCAACCTATTCTTAACAGTTTAACAAAGCCTAATTTATTTAAGATTCAAAAATAAAATATCAACTTTAATAGATATATTACTAAACTTCAAGTACGGTCTGTAGTTTACGTAAGTAGTACACAATACACATTTACATAAAACACTTTTAACGGTTTAAAACGTGAAATGAACTAGTTAATTTATAAACTATTTATTTTAACAACGGTTCAACTTTTCGTATATTCTCATCCTTAATGTCAAAGTGAACACTTCTACGCTGAGTGTCGTGGCCTTTTTTGATATTAGGGATACCTTCCATCTGCAGCCCGCGGTGACTACGACTGCAAAACATCCAAAACGCGGCGTAGTTAAAACACATTGTAAATAAGTAATTGCAACGTTGTAAACAGTAAAATGTGTTTTATTTAAAATATGTTTGCAAGTTCTTATGTGAATAAACCAACAATTGATCCCATATAGTAGAAACATATACTAATACAACAGTAAATGGATAGGATTTTCAAAATAGAAATTCTTTATAACGCGTAGCCTTGATCAAATAGTACTTAGGAGTACTTGGTTCAGTCAAGTACTATGTTGGAAAAGGTCGAGTGAATCATCCTACTCCATTTAATAGACCAATGTTTAACTTTTTTTGACATTGCTCACTTTCACTCAAATATCAATATATCCACGGGGGATCTAAAACTATTTTACTAAACAACCCTTTGTAGTCCAACGTCTAAAAAGCATCCACTGTGTCCACACAAATAAACTAACGTTTATATTAAGAACTTTTATCAGTTTTATTTGAAGAAATAATAATTAGTTGAACTATCGATTCGGGCAGTCGGTTTGCTTTTGATCCTAAATTAATATGGAAATTGTTGTATTTGCTTACTAGAGTTTAATATGTTATCAAGGGTTATTTAATTAATTAATAACGCAGAGTAGTTTATAATGATTTTTGAGTAATGATAGACGGTAGAAAAGGTTAACTTGATGGGAATACCCCAGCCATAATATAATTTAACAACAAGATGTCCTGTCGAACTGTTTTTACTTTGACTATTTGTGAGTTACAAGAATAATAAAAGGATAATTAATTCCTTTAGTAGATAGTCTGAAATTCCGTAAATCTACATATGGCATGGGGCAGATACATTTTGTGTCTGTTTAAATGAACTATGTCATGGACTGGTATGTGAAGAGACTTCTCTGCCCTGCCTTTTTTTGACAGAACCACTCGCATAACTAGATAATCGGGCTAAGATATTTTTGTATTGTACTTTGAGTTAAATTTTAGATTATATATCGATACGATATTATCGGCGGTACTATCGATACGATCTCAACTTAGTACAGTGTTGTAATAGTGCAGATAAGCGTAAATAACATAAATTGTGTTATATTAAGATTACTACATTCATCTTCGTAAACATTAATCGATTTGTCTTAGCCATTTCCAAGGTAATTAGTGTTGCACAAAATCCAATTCCATTGCGTAATTGAAGCAAGGATCGGAACGTAACGATACCCTGTATGAATCAATCAAGGCTTCTCTTACTTCTCGTACTTGGTTTTTGACTGGCTCATTAGGCCAGTAGTAGCATAGCAGCGGCGGGTTCGATTCTCATCGGGTCCAATATATTTCAAAAAATCTATTTATGAATGTTTTGAAATATGTAAAGGTTCGTGTGAAAAGTCTAGACGTTAAACAACGATGGATAATATCGAAATACGCTTTTTATCGACATGCTATTTATCCTATAGGAAATATTAAACTGTATAGACATAAAATAGTTTTTCATTTGTTTTTTAAGATTGTAAAACAAATATTTTTTATTTATAAAAATGATATGTTTGGCATTATGGTATTACATATATATTAGAAATCGATTTTAGACACAGTAGCTCAACTGATTAGAGCAACAGGACAAAAAATGCCGGTTCTAGTCCTGCCTCTGTCGTAATTTTTTAAAATCTGAAATCGACTTTTATTCTATGAATTATATGATTTTTGGCAAGGTTTATGACTTTATACGCTATTTTAATGCACCCTGACTACAATAAACACGAAACATACATGCAATAAGACAAATACTTCTAAAATAAAAATTGGTCCCACGTAAAGCAACTTACAACGTGACTTGTTCGCTAAATAAAATTTTCTAGAAACGCGCTTCCTCGAACTGAGGATTACGACTTTTTCATTAAAATTCTTACCTTGAATGCATTTCTAAATTTGTTGGACATTATGTTGTACAGGAAAGGATTTATAGCAGTAGACAAGAAGTACAGCACTCCCGATAGGTACGTCAGGACTATATACACCTGAAAATAACAGATTTTTATTCATTTCAATAACAATAGTACGCGACTTTCATCGCGTGTAGATTTAATACAATTATCTAAAATATACTGCTAATTTAAATAAAACACTTTAACGGCTTAAAACGCGATGTATTTTAAACTGATTCGGAGATTATTTTAACTACGGCCCGACGTTTTGGATGCTTTGCAGCAGCCGTAATCACGGGGAGACGACCCGTTTGTTGTTTACGTTTTAAACCGTTGTAGTGCTTTATTTTAATGTGTACTACATGCGTAAACTACAGACAGTGTTTAATATACTGTTGGTGCTATGAAAACAGTGACAAATAAAAAAAATCACAACTCAGCGGTCAAAATAAAGCACAGGTTTGGCGCAACAAGTAGGATTTTTCTATTGAATGATAACGATTCAAAGAGTTCAAAGTTGATTCACATTTACATATTATATGTTCTAGGCATTTCCTATCTTTATATTTAAATGAACTGATGATGATAAAACATCGCTGATAAACTCACAACCAGACGAAGCTGACGCAGTAGTACTTAAGATTCCGCACTTACTAGATAAAAAGTGGCACTTGGATGTTCCAAATTCTTGCCATATATTGCAAGTATACGCTGCACGTGGAATGGTGCCCAACACAGGAAAAAAGATAACGCCACGGCCACTGAAACATTTAAAAATGTACAAAATAATAAGTAACTAAATAATTAAAAAACATCTAGCACAACCAAGTAGGCTTTGGTTCTAGGTTCGACACCCAGGCAACATAATAAACAGTTAAATTTTTCCAATCTAAACAGATTGTTAATTTATGTATTGGCGAATTTTAATTCAAAAGAAAATATATAGTAAATATATAAAACAAAAGCTTTATATATTTACTAATATATAAAGCTGAAGAGCTTGTTTGTTTGAACGCGCTAATCTCAAGAACTAAGGGTTCGAATTGAAAAATTATTTTTGTTGTGATTAGAGCATTTATCGAAGAACTCTATAGGCTATAAATCATCGCCATGTGACATACAAGCGAAGATACAGCGAGAAATATAAAAAAAAAGGGAAAATCATTCAACATTATGGCTTTGCGAGGCGTACGCTGCAAAAACGGTTTAAGATGCCCAAAAATATGTATGAAAGAATAGTGCCTCTTTAAATGATCTAAAAAAAAGTCCGCGTCGCTATATGTCTATTTTAAGATTCATTTGCAAAAAGGACGGAACCCGAACGACGGGACGCGACTGATGTCGTGGGTAACAGCATAAATTAATAAAGTGAAGAGGTTTGTAAAAAAAAATTATTGCCTAAAATAACTGCTCCACGCCGACAAAGTCGCTGACACAGCTAGTAACATAAATACGGATTAAGCACTTTATAAAATTACACAGAACAAGTTTATACCTATCATGATAAGTTAATTTTAGATTAAAAAAGAAAAAGCTATCTGCTTCGCTCAATGAAAAGTTTTCTTCCGAGGAGTTTCCAACTTTTCTACAGCTCTGTAGACTCGTAATTCGATTTGAATTTCTCTTCACGTGATTGTTTATCAAGTACCCACATTATTACTGATGCAAACCATTGTGTGAATATCATATAGGAACGGTGTGCCCGATTTTTCTTGTTTAAGAAAATTAATAGTCTAGATAAATATTTCACATATTAACAAATCTATATCAATAGTCAATCTTTTATTTTGTTTTTATGATAGAGGAGGACAGACTAGTATCAGGTTATGGTAGATGAAACACTCCAGCGATATAACATCTCAACAAGATGATTTGTCTCCCTATTTTGGCTCTGGATATTCCGAAATCTACAGACTGAAACAGAAGCGTGATTAGACTGGACGGCTTTTTTATCTGTGGGCGGTTCGTTACCTGGTAGAAAGTAGTAGAAAAATATGCATTTTTGTTGAGATCCTTTAAATATTTATTTAATTATACTATAGCGGCAACAAGAACAAATAACTTCTGAAAATGTTTTCTGATCTGTTGATGTAGAAATAAATTAATTATGTCTAATATTCCCTCCACAGACTTTACTGCATATTATGAAGCGTCGTCGTTATTAATTTTGTAAATTGTTTTATCCTTTGAATATAATGTACGCATCGTTGAAAATGGGCTATTAATAATTATATAATTTGCACTGTGTTCGGGTATATTAAATAGGAGATAATAAACCATAATTTAAAATGAAATTACTAAAATGTGACTTATTTATTGATTTTTCTATGTCATACGCGACTTAGTTCTTGGCGTTAAGCACGTAAAACAAGAAAAAAACTAATATAGAATTATGTGCGCCCAAGTCCCACGTAACTAACTGCCTATGTAGTTAAATTACAAGTATTGTAGCAACGCGTTGTATTTCACTCTACGCCCCATGTAGGTAAAACGAAATGATACGGTACCAATAAAGGTATATCTTATTTATTTATTTAATCATTAAAATTCATGCCATGACAGGTGGGAACCCAATTCGACACTGAACTTAAAAAGTAACATAGATTTATACAATACAATTAGACTATGACTTATAACTAAGTATTAAATATCATTAGTTTACTATTACTAATTATCAGTTTATTATTTTATAATCCATATGAAATCATCAATCATCTTGTCTAAATAAAACACTTTAACGGTTTAAACGCGCTATATATTAGTTGTTAAACTATTAAATTATTTTAACTTTAGCCCGACATTTCGGATGCTTTGCAGCAGCCGTGCTTACGGAAAGACTAAAGATGGAGTAAAACCTGCTACGCGAGCGCCATCTGTTCCGTCGTTGGTTGGTTGTTTGGTATTTCGAAACCGTTCGATAACTTAAGGCCGACCTGTATTAACACCTGGGATCCCATATTAAAACTCTGGATTCCAAAAAACAGCATACCGCGAAGACACAGTTAGTCAATTCGGCACGGATCCAGCCAGTTTCTATAGTGTTTTAAACAGTTAGAGTGTCTTATTGAAATTTGTACTTCTCGTTTAAACTACAGACAGTATCTGATATCTTGTCTTTCTAATGTTTTCTATAAAGTAGACCTGTATGAGTATGTTTGTATAGACGAGATTAAGCTATATTTTCATTTGTTCAAAATCTGAGCTTCGTATCTTTTGTCCCTCAATTATTAATTAATTACGACGTATTCAAATCAAGTTAATTAACCATACACGTTTTGGGCCTTTCCCGTGAAATAATTTGTGAGACACAAATCGGCGTGTGAATTTTAAAAATATATTTACTGATTGTGTTTGTGTGATTTAATAAATCCTATACATACTTAATAAAGGTAATTGTTATGTACTTATTCTCTAAAAATGGCCCCTCATAAGAAGAACTAGAAACAAATTCGATTTACATTACAACATGTAATGTGTGCGTTTCGGCGCTAAATTTTGTTAAAGTACATAAGAAGGTACATAAATATGAGTACTTCATTAAAATACTATTTTGTATATGAGATCTTAATGTTTATATTTTGGTGAAGGCAACAAAGATAAGCATCGTTTCCTAGACCTTTAAAATACGACATCGTCTCTCTAAACCTTTTAATGGCCTCGTATGTCTAATGGTAGCAAGGTATAGCTAATAATTAACGGGTCGCGGCTTTGAATCCGGCTGGATCCAACATGTTTCTATTCAATTTACTAGCTAGCTCAATTGGTTAGAACCACGGCACAGGACATTGTGGATACCAGTTCAAGTCCTGCCTGAGTAGTAATTTTTTTGACGTGACCAACGTCTTATAATTCGATGGACCCGGCTGCACGCACAAAAACATGACTCATGATGCGGCGTTACCTCGCTCTGAGGCGTTCCATGTAAGGCTTGAAGTGCAAGCGAGAGCGCGGAATGAGCGACAAACAAGCACAAACGGCCTTTGCGTTGGGCAGCGTTCGACATCCGTCTCTCTCAACGCACATTTATACTTGTAAAAACTATAAAATTGCAAAAAAATTACATAAATTATTTATGCGTCTAACTAATAAATCTAACTTCATTCAATTTCAAACTAATTAATCAATCAATTTCATTGTGATTTCCAATTACCTCCTTCTCTATATACATACAAATCTATTAAACAAATGAAATTAAAAATTTTCTTTCGAAAAATGCTACCATTCCATCAGTATCTTCCTAAGACGTTGTCACGTTCAGCTATCGTCAGTAAACCGACTTTACAGACAACCAATTTTGTTCATTTATATAGTGCCAACATTTTCAAATGTTTCTAATCAAACAATTGTCTATCCTCTTCTATCATATGATAAAATTGTAATTCCTGAAGAAGCGGCGTGGATAGTTATGTTTACAAACACTGTCAATGAAGTGTTTACAGTGAACTTAAATGAAATTTACATACTTGATTTGGAAACATGCCGACCGACCGACCGCGAACACAAGTTCAAGTTCGTTTTCTTGTTGACCGAATTACTTAAGTCGCGAGGCGATATAATTACACGTATTAAGTAACTAGCCGTGTCGCCGACTTCGTCCGTCCGACCCGTCGTTTCTAGTAAGTTAATCTTAAAAGATAGAGATGTATGGCCTTATTACAAAAAATACCTAAAACAAGTTTAAACCAAAACTGCTGAGTCTTGGTTTAACTCTTAAACGATCGTCTAAATTAATCCAAGTTAGTACCATAGTTAGTCCAGTACAAACTTTAAACTTCGTTTTGTAATAAGGACTTCAAATAAACCAGGGTTTAAAACAGGTTTCATAGATAGACCTTGTTTTGTAATAAGAGTAATAGTGTCGTGAACATTAGGTAGATCATTTAAAAAGGAATCATTCTTTCATACATATTTTTTGTGTATTACGAAACGTGTGTGGTTAATCGGTTTTTTTTACATTTCTCGCTATTTCTTCGCTTCTATTAGTCAATCACTGTTTTATATAGCCTTCCTTGATACATGCTGTAACCAACACAAAGGGTTTTTTTTTTTAATTCGAACCTGTAGTTCCTGTGCTAAGCGTGTTCAAACAAACAAACTCTTCATTATATTAGTATAGATATGTATACTCAATCTCGTTAAAGATAATGCCATTTATAAATCCTTTAGAAGTGAACAGTTTAACGATTTTAGTAGAGAAAGAAAGAAAAAAACTGCATGTGTACGTACACAACGGTAATTTTGGGTAATTAAAAAGAACGATAAGCTTACCTAACATTCGTATAACTCTACGCTGTGATGCCCCGTTCCTGTACCGGGTTGAGCCACTTTTGTCATGGCTATCCACCGAAGACTTCTTCACGGGGTGCAGCACCCGAGAAGAATTCAACTTGACCCCAATCAACGCGTACAAAACAGTTATTAATGACATTGGCGCCACAAAGAACACGAAACTAGATATCACAAACACTTCATGTACACCGTGTCCTTTTACAGTACACACACTTATATCACGTCCGTTTTCGTTAAACGTCACTATGCCGAACTGTATCGCTTGCGGCACAGCCGTGCATAACGCGAACACCCATATTACCATAATATATCGCACTGCTCTCGACGATTTGGACATAGTATGGGACATAAAAGGACGGCATATTGCTATATATCGTTCTATAGTGAATGCAGTTATGGTTAAAACAGTTGCGTTCGCAGACGTCTCCGAGATTAAACCCATAGATAAACACAAGGGCTCCCCCAGGGGATACGAGTTGGGGTCCCACAGGCGATACAACTCTATTGGCAAACCACAGATAAGTAATAAGAGATCAGATAAAGCAAGACTGAATAAGTAAAAGTTGGTCGCCGTGTGCATAGAACGATTCCTGGAAATCACTACACAAGTGCTGATGTTTCCCAATATCCCAGCGACAAATATAATCGAATAGATAATTGTTAGCGGTACAATGATGTTCAGAGAATCGCGGTCTGAATATGATGACGTAGTCACATTGGTTATGTTTATCCACAGGGCACTTTCTTCCTCTTCCATGGTCGCCACGTTACCCCATTCCGTTATCTGGAAACAAATTAACTGAACTGAATTTAACAACTCTTAAAAATAAATTTATTCCGTTCATTCGAGTATCAACATCTTCATATTCAATTGTTATTTTATATTAATAGGCTTACCAACAATAATTTACAGTCCTCTATCATTACAATAAAGATTTTTTAAATATGTATTCATTTATTATAAGATAAACTTAGTTCCTAGTTATCTAAGAATTATAGACAAACACCACTTGCTAAAATAGTATTCTATTTATTATACATAGTATGAGGCGAAAAGGTATCAGTAGGCGTTTCATTTATCGACATTATGTAGACGTTTTGTGCCCTGCACGACCGAACCAATTTATTGTTTTGCAAAAATTCAAACCGAGGATTACGTTCCACTATACATTGCAATAGACATAGACTAGGTAAAAAATACAATGTAATATTATTAAAGTATACAGAATAATACGACAATAATATAACAATCCTTATGACTAATTTTTCATCCACGGTTACTTAAACAATTTTAAAATTAAATACGAAATCGTTCGAAACCCAGCATCGCAACAGCCGACCATTTTCCTCTGCCATTGTTTGTATACGGAACGATAAATATTAGTCAAGTTATTCTCAACGTATTTTAAGTTACATTTTCAAAGGTCCGGAAACCTTACAACTGAGTCAGCGTCCACGTATCCGGAAATAAGGAAAGATTTGACGATGAAATCATAATAATAAAATACACTTAAGGCTATTTGCCATACATTTCTATTTATATCATTTTAATTACCTTAACTTTATTTAGGGATGAATATCTTCGATTTTCACCCGTTAATTTCGTAAAACCAGTTTTGACAAAACAAAGAAATCACAATCTTCCATACAAACGATGCCTCCAATATTTGCCCTCTTAGAGATAATAATTCTGTCGGAGAAATTGAATACTCCACTGCTCTACGATTAGTGATTTAGATCGTAATACATCGTTCAATCAGTGATTAGGACAAAGCATTTGATAGTATAGGCAGATTTCACTTCGAAACATTCAAATCTCTTACAAGATAAAAGAGTAATACTGTATGGAAAATGCACTTCACTAAAGTCGACCCTTATCATTGTATACAAGTGTAGTCAAAGACTTCAACCTAATATAATCAAAGCAAGGGCAAGTTACTCACATGCCTAACACGTTTTCATTGAAATAATTTAAATATTCAAAAGTATATTTAGTTTGCAGCTATGTTATTTTATGGGCGTATAATAAAAATATGAACTGACTGATGATTTATATTATGATCTACTTCAAAAGCGAAGAAATTGTAAAAGGAAAGCAGAGAAAAGTGAGAGATCCTGATAATATAAATACGACAGCCATTTAATAAATTTGGATTGTTTCTCGCCTAAAAAGATTGACCGGTCTGGCTCTGGTCCTGGTCTGAAGATCTGGGCTTATGCATCAACACCTAAAAGTAGCGGTGAAGCGTCGATTTTCAATTCCTTCCGAGGGATAAGAAGTGTTTTCCTCTTAAGCTTATCCTCAAACAACAATTTATATTTTTTATATCGAAAATATCTTCCTGGATAATAATTCAATTCGCAGAAATGCTTTTCATTAGCCGAATAAATTTCTCGATACTTTATGTACCGCTACATACTTACTACATAACTTTCTTTAGCATTCAACTAATTCGACACAACAATTAATTCTTAAAATGATTAAAACCTTCGTTTTTATCTGTTAGACAGCTGTTATCATTAAATATTTTATAACAGTAACTAAGTAAAAAGTAGAGTATCATATTATAACTAGAATTTAGAATAATAAGGAATAACCACTTATAATTTACTTGTTAGGCTCCAAAGTTCAATAAACTTGAATTCGAGGTCGAATAATGTCGCAAAATAAGAACCTAATTAAGTGATATCTGAATTTACGATATCTTTTATGGAACAATATTTATAATGAATTATTCTTACACCAAAATTATACTGATATGGGTATTACACAGTTTAATGACACATAATTATTATATTATGTATAATTTTCAAAAGCCTATCTTTTACGATAGAGGTGGACTGTGGTGAAATACACGTGATGTAACATCTAAACAATATGCCGCCATACCTCTTCAACGTCCTCTATTGGCTTTCGTTCGGAAATTTACAAACTGAAATGGAAACGTGATTAAACTTAGCAACTGTTTCATCTGCGGACGATGGTTATGATTGACATCTGAATTTCCCGACCGTTTCAGAAAAACTATATACTGATAAGAAACATTGGACCAGTGGGAATCAAATCCACGATCCGTTGTTTATTAGCCATACATACCATTAGACCAACGTCAAGTAGCCCTGTGAATGCACATATTTATATAAATGGTATTTTAGAAAGATTTAACGAAACTATAACAATTGGGGGAATTGAACTTAATTCGAGCGCAATTTACTAAAAATGCTGATAGATACATATATTTTTATAAGGGCACTAGCTGTGCCCGCGACTTTTTCCGGTGGAATTTATTTTGGGACTATTATTTGAAACACTTAAATAGGTGTTGTCCACGACGTCTACCGCCAACATTTTTTTAGATCTTTTAAAGAGGAATCTTCGTTTTGTTTATATTTTTTTGTTTCTTATACCATTTTCACATCGCACGCAACGGAAGCCCTCTATCGTAAGATTCCCCGTTTATATTTTCCACTGTTTTCGAAGATATTGGTGATTCACAGCGTGATGTTAGTCTTCCCCGATCAATGGTGTTTCTCTCACAAATTTTCTTTTCATACCAACCAGAAGTTCCTGAGACTAGCGCGTTCAAATAAACAACCTCTTCAGCTTTATATTATAAGTATAGATAGAGGCATAAGCGGTATTGGACATCGCTTACCCTGTCCCAAAACCTCATTTCCAATTATCCTGTTTCCGAACTCTGTTTCAAAGCGGAAAATTCGGTGACAAAAAGTAAGTAAAACGAAAATAATAATTAGATTCCTAGATTTGTTTGAAATTAATACAATCTAAGAAACCTTAGAAGCTGTTATAATGGAAACGCGATCGTTTGATTCAGGAAAAATGTTCGCCCGACGGGGACGTTATCTTTACTTAACTACGAAACAATACGTAAGAATAATGTTAAACATTATAATTACGAATACGAAGTGGTCTCTTATTTATATATTTAAAATAAATATACTTTATAAAGATATATTACCTCGTACCTCCATCGGGTAAAAGCTCTGGCAAAGGTTTGACAATTTTTTATTAAAAAAATATCACTACAAACACGCCATGGGGCATATTGCTCTGCGCTATACACCTACAAACACTATCACTACGTTTTTATTACACACGCCTCTACACGAAAAAATACAAACACTTCCAGTGTTCCAGATAAACGTATACATTTAGGGCTTTCATAATTCAATTTAGCGTATTTTACTAAGAGAATCCGCTAAGACCGCCTCTGTAGCCAAATGTTAAAAGGATTACGTTGAGCGCGAAACAATCTTGTTTTGGTTGGGAAGCTACAGAAGTCTTATCAACAACTTGTCCTTTAAAAGAACACAATAAGAAACTGACACAAAATTTGTTGCCCCATGCCACCCCCAGGGGGAAACGGGCTTTCACACTAAGACAAACCAGTAACAAATTGTAGGTTAAAAAATATCTTGTTTTGGTTTATAACTACACAATTGTCGAACTTTTCTCTTCAAACACAATAGAACTACTTTTGTAACAAATTTATTAAAATCTTGACTATTGTCAAATTTTTCCTCCTATTTACAACACTTTGTCTCCCAAAGTATGGTGCCAACCATAGAGTTTCTTTTGTTCATTTATTCTTATGTGTTTTGTTTTACCGTTACTAATTACTGTTATCATCCTTGTGTGAGATATAAATTAAGCGTTACTCGACGAGCTTAATCACAGGGTATTAAATTCGATATTCGACAAACATTTACGTAGAACTACGAGAGTCGTATTAATCAATTTTATTAATTGTTTAGCTCTGTATGGCCAGGGAAAATCAGTTTCAAACAATCAACGTTTACTCTTGCCCGTTCCAAATAATAAAACCACGTCTGATCGTTTTTTAAACGCACACATGTTACTTTTCACACGAAATGCAATTAATAGGAAAATACGAGATTTAATCAAAAATGAAACATGTGAAACTGAAGAAAACATTATTTCGAACACAAAATTGTAGTTATGACGCTTAAGAACGGACATTAAAATCTTTTTTCAACAAGGAGCTAAGAAGAAAGAATACTTTTTTTTTCCGAGGCAAATAGGTCATGTTATGTGCAATTCTTCTACAATATTTTGTAGTTACAGGCAAGTATGTGGTTATACTTCTGTACTCTGCCCGAAACGAGTTATTGCGTAACGCAGTGATATAAAAACATGAAGACGAATATATTAAGTATGTAATATATATTTTAAGTTAAAATGCTACAATATGGTTTAATTATAAGTTTATATAATAAAAGTAATAATTTTTGAAATTGTAAAGCATGACTAAAGTCAGTTACTTGTTCCGAAACTATGAATAGATAATGATGTTTTCGTCTATTCAAAGCCATAATATGGGAATATGAAATAAATATAATTTCCCGCGATAAAATTAAGCGTGTTATTTTTTGTCGTTTAATAGCCAAGGTAAGTGTACTTCATTAGAGTAGCATTTTGTGTAATGGTGAGACAGTAATATGTATTTATATATCGGTTAAAGAAACAGAGAAAAGCACCAGAATGGCTAAAAATTTTCACATGATCTCCCTAGCCGACTTGGTAAATTAGTGTCCCGTAGAAGGCTCGATTCCCAGCTATGGGAATTGTTTATGGCGAATGATTTGGATATGTTTATCCACACTCACATCACCACTACACAACCTATACGTCACGCCATGCATGAAATTTGATGACAGCTTAGTTATTATACGATTATACACTTGTTGTCAAATAAAATAAAAAGCCTAGATTCATTCTTATTATTATGAGACTAGAAGGTACTAAATAAAATCATTCTTGACTATGCGTCTATGTTCATTGTTACATCAGAATATTATATCTAGAATTTATTTCTTTTAATATCCTTAGTATTACAAAAAACCCGATTCAAATACTTACCTATTAATATTGTACGACGTTG